TTTTGTGGTACGGGGGATTGAACTCAGGACCCTGCGCTTGCCAGGCAAGTGCTTATTCTATTGAGCTGTCTCTCTGGCCCCGAGAAATAACCATTTTGAAAACTAACAAAAGTGGAAAAGGAGTCTTAACCAAAAGAATTTCTTTCCTTTGGGAAGAAGTTTTCTAAAAAAGAATCTTAAATTTCAACCACATATTTTATATAAAAGGTAAAGTGAGTTTTTCTAGGTAGGCGCAGTTTTGATATTCCAGAAACTTACAATGTTCCTTCTCATTTATTGACATAGATTACAAATAAAGAGAAATGAAAACAATGAGATGTTTTAAAGAAAAAAATGATTGAAATTTTAAGATCCTCTAAATCTCTTTGACTCAGCTTCATGCGATCTGTTTCTTTCCTGTATTGCTCATTCAAGGATTCCATCATTTTTCCAGTCTCCTCTATTTTTTTTTTTATCAGTGTCTTCTTGAGAAGCAGTTATTAATTCTTGAAGCCTGGCCCCTGCGTCTGCCTAAGCAGGCGCTTTAGTCCGCTGAGCTATCTGGCTGGCTGCTAGTTGAATCATCTTAAGTATACCATTTTAATTTTTGTTTTTTTCTTTTATGTTTTCTTCTTTTCAGTATTTCATTCCCAGAGGTTGTCTTTGTGTCACAATCTATGTCCTTTTCCTGTTATAGTTAATGTTAATACAGTATTGTGCTGTCTTATGTAAAATATAAAAATGGACACTCTTACGCTTGCATCATACTGTTATATCTACATATGTTATAAATCCTTCAGCACAGTAGTGTAATTTTTTTCTTTAAACAACCTTTTGTATATTTTGGAAGTTAAGAGGGAAAAAATTGTCTTTTGTATTTATCCACTACTATTACTATAGTTTCCTTCTAGCCCAAAGATCTAGTTTTCTATTAGGTGGTTTCAATTCTTTTCTGTTGCAGAAGTTTCTTTATTGTAGGAGCCAGCAAGCTATAACAGTTCAGGACTATGCTGGCCTGTCACTTGTTTTAAATAAAGGTTCCTACAACACTTAAACAAAAAATGAAGTGGTAAGAAAGCAATATAGTTAGAGAGAGGGAGATAGGGCTTCTTCTTTGTACTTTGAAGACCCATTAATGCAGCTAGTTTTAGGAAAGAAGAGAAAATGAATATATTTCTGCTGATTTTGAAATTTTAATAGTCATCTTTTCCCACAGAGCCCATCTGAATGACCTGGAAAATATTGTGCCATTCGTTGGTATTGGCCTTCTGTATTCCCTGAGTGGTCCAGACCTCTCCACAGCCCTCCTGCACTTCAGAATCTTTGTTGGAGCTCGGATCTACCACACAGTGGCTTATCTGCTGCCCCTTCCTCAGCCAAACAGGGGTCTGGCTTTCTTTGTTGGATTTGGAGTTACTCTCTCAATGGCTTACAGCTTGCTGAGGAATAAATTATATCTGTAAAGGGCGTCATATGCTGTGTCATCCAGTTGGGTTTTAAGTTTTCTTCTTTCAGCATACAGTATAATGAATATTTTGGAGGATTTAGGAAGGAGGAAAGTAGAGAAATTAACAAGTTGGGGGAGATCCATTTTAAAGACTAGTGTCATTGATATCCTTTATTTTTGCTTTATGCTTGTACTAGAAAATTTATATAGTACTTAAGCCTTTTGTCTGATTCTTAAGTACTTCATTGTGAATTTTGGTTATGTTACAATTTGTAACATTTAATGTTTCATGATGTGAGTCTATAAAAAAATGATTTCATGCCTGAGAAATATGTTTCAATACTACTTAAATAGGTTTAAGGAATAAAGAATTTAAAGAAATGACTTGTCTGCCTTTGTTTCTCCCAATGATTAAATTTGAAAAGCTTCAAACTGATAGAAAAATTGAAAAACAGAACAGTGAACATCTCATGACCGTTCCTCTGGACCTAATGGTTGTGAACTTTGGGGAATACTTGCTTAAGCTCTCTCTCACGGTGTTTTCCTCCACAATTTGCGAGTAAGATGGAGATTCCACGATGCGTCAGTCCTTACTACTTTTACATATTTCTCCTATGAACAAGGTAACCTCCAAATAACCACAGGACCATCGTTGCACTCAAGAAATATAACAATATACTCCTACAGCGGTGCTTCCGTTCTCAAACTTGATTTGTTCTATGATTGCAGAAGAGATTGATTGTGTTTGTGTGGTAAAGGTGACTACGGTCATGTTCCTCACCCAATGCAGAGTTTGCAAACAATACCAAAGTTTTGCCAACCAAATGGCAATCAAAAGTATCTGTGAATCGAGACCCCACTATATTAATACATATCACCCGCATTCAGCTTTCCACAATTTTCCTAATAATAACCATTAGAACTGTTCTACACTTTTTTTAAAAGAGGATAAAAACAAAACAAGAGCAAAGACAATAACAAAGCAACGTAAAATAGCCAAAATGATACATAGCCTGCTTTTCTCTTGCCCTTTGCTTTGGTCTTCATGTTGGCTAGTTCTTTTCTAGATTCCTTATATGAGAGATAACATGATTGTCTTTCTGAATTTACTTTCTTTCATGTAACATGATACTGTGTAGTTCCTTTTCCCCATAAATGACATGATTTTTTTCTTTAGAGCTGAATAATTCTCCATTGCATATATGCAACACACTTATTTTCCTTCCTTCCTTCCTTCCTTCCTTCCTTCCTTCCTTTCTTCCTTCCTTCCTTCTTTCCTTCCTTCTCCTTCTCCTCCTTCTCCTTCTCCTCCTTCCCCTTCCTCTTCCTCTTCTTCCTCCTCCTCCTCTTCTTTCTTTCTTTCTTTCTTTCTTTCTTTCTATCTATCTATCTATCTATCTATCTATCTATCTATCTATCTATCTATCTTTCTGTCTTTCTTATTGTCTTTCTGGGAATTGAACTTCCTGTCTGTCTGTCTGTCTGTCTGTCTGTCTGTCTGTCTGGACTGTGCTGGCTAGGCAGGCACTTAAGCCACTGAGCCGTCTCCCCAGCCCAACACACTTATTTTCACCTATTAATGGGCTTCTCAGCTGGTTTTACAGGTGACTGTGATTAGTGCTTCCATGAACATGGTATGCAAATGTCTAGAGCACACTGACTTTGATGCCATTGATTCTCTTTTAAGGAGTGCTATAGTTGAATCATGCAGTAGTTCTATTTTAGTTTGTGGAGGAGCCTCCATTCTGATTTTCATAGTGGAAATCAAAGTTTCTTCTCCCCACAGCCTCTCCAGGCATTTATTATTTTTTGTATTCTTGATGATTGTCATTCTGACTCAGGTGAAGCAATGTAGTTTTGATTTGTATTTCCCTACTGGCTACAGATATAGAACATTTTTCCATATAATTATCGGTCATTTGTATATCTTCTTTTGAGAAGTGTCTGTTCTGATAATTTGCCCATTCTTTGGTTGAACTACTTGATTTTCTGGGTATTAAAAATTTTTTTTTTGTGTGTACATTTAGTGCAGGGTCCACAGGGTCTCACTACACAGATCAGACTCATAGTGATCCTCCTGTTTCCAGCCTTCTAAGCACTGGGATTATAGGTGTGCACCATCACACCGAGTCTCAGTCGCCATCTCAGCTCTGGGGGTGGGTGTGGCACATCACGCAGGGAATCAAATCCTGGTCCCTGTGCCTGCATAAGTAGGCACTTTAATCCGCTGAGCTATCTGGCTGGCCCAACATTTTCAATTATTTATATATTCTAGATATTAATCTTCCTTTGGGAGAATAGCTGGCAAATCTCCCTCCCCATTCTATGGACTCTCTTTTCCTCTGTTAATTGTTTTTTTGTGTCATGAAGAAGCTCTTTAATTCTTTCCAATCCCATTTGTGAATTCTTGTTATTTCCTGAATTATTGAAGTTCTGTTCAGGACATCATTGCCAGTGCCTATAGTTTGAAATATTTCCCATATTTTTCCTTTTGTAGTTGTGGGACTTCAGGTCTTAATTCCACTTTGAGTTGATTTTTGTACATGGTCAGAGAGGGATTTAGTTTTGACCTTCTGAATGTAGACAGTTTCTCCAGCACTATTTATTTATTTATTTATTTATTTATTTATTTATTTATTTATTTATTTTTGGTACTAGACATCAGACTCAGGACCTTGCACTTTCCAGGCAGGTGCTTATGCCTGTGAGCTCTCTTCTCAGCCCTCCCAACACAATTTATTAAAGAATCTATCTTTTCTCCAGAGTATGTTTTGTCACCTTTTTTCTTAAGAACCAAATGACTATTACTGTGTGAGTTTATTTGTGCTTTCTCTGTTCCACGGGTCTTCATATTGTTTAGCAGTACCTGGCTGTTCTTGTGCCAGTGGCTCTACAGTGTCCGCTGAAGTTGGGCACTGTGGTCCCTCCATCACTGTTCTTTTTGCTCGGATGTTTTTGTTGACTCAGGTGTTTCATGCTCTTATATGAACTTTAGGATTGTTTTTTTCCTAGTTCTGTGATGACAGTATTTTGATGGGGATTGCACTGAATCTGTGGTTTGCTTTGAGTAGTATAATCATTTTTAACAATAATAATTCTCCCAATCCATGGAGATGGGCGGTCTTTCCATTTAGTGTTATGTTAGGTATCTTTTATAATCATGTTTTATAACTTTATTTTATGTGTGTTTTGCCTCCTTGGTTAGGTGTATTCCTAGATATTTTATTTTATTAGAGGCTATTGGAAATGGGATTTCAAAATTTTATTTATTTATCTATTTATTTGGTACAGGGTCTCTATGCAGCTCAAATTCATAGTGATCCTCCTGTCCTGTGCTTGCCAGGCAGGCAGTTAGACCACCGAGCTACCTCCTCAGCCCCAGAAGTGAGATTGTTCTAAAATTTCTTTCTCAGCTAGTTTTTATGGAAAGCTACTTTTTTATGTTGATTTTTTTTTTTTT